TTCTTAATATTATTTTTTTTTTTGGGGGGGGGGGGGTCGTCAACTTTTTAGGGGGAGTTTTTTAGGATTGGGCCGGAGTGGCCACCACCACCTAGAATAGTAAGTAGAAAGCAACCGAAACCAAAAACTGATTTTCTCCGAAACCAATGGGCCAAATTTAGAAATCTAACGCTCATTAGAGACCTGAGAGTACTCCAAATACTGTATTTTTACAGACTGATCCCAGTGTTATTAGTCTGAGAGGGAAAAAAAGAAGAAATGGAGCCTTACTTGGTTAGGAAAATGAGTAAGCTTATTTTGAATACCCTGTATTTAAACTAACATAATTTTGTCAATTTTTTACCAAATTAGCTTGCTAACCACTCAATCGACGGTAAATTACACCAGCTTTAAAATGAGACCAAGATAATTTCGATAGCTATCTTAGTTTAGAAATGAAAACAGTATCTTTGAGTCAATCTTCGTATCAGCCTCTCATAAGCCCTAAAAATACAAAAAACGATACATGTCTCCAGGAGCTCGAACAAACTTTTTTCATTTTTAGCTGGAAAGACTCCATTTTCACTCTTTTTTTTTATCCGAAAAGACTTTGTGAGTGATAGAAAATTTCTTTCAACTTTTACTCAAACGAACCGTGCGTTGTCATAAATTCTGCGAGAGAGTCCTTTCTAAAGGCCTGGCCTTATTATTCTATGCCATAACCTCGAAGGTCTGGAAAATTAGGAACACGACCAACAACTGCAATTTCTGCAGTTTATTGTGGTTTTCACAAAAAATACAAAAATATAGCGACTTATTTAAAGCTACTGTTTATTTATTCATCTTAAAAATTTAATTTAAAATTGTCTTGTGAGGTTATAATTGTTCCATGTCAATAATTTTGACCTAGATTTGTGTAAAACAAATTATTTTACTTTTGAAATGTTTTAGTTTCATTTTTGTTCATTTTTATCCTTTTTTTTTCAGAGAATAAGATATTTATCTGTTTTATCCAAGGTATGTTCGAAATGAAATTGCAATTATATGCACTCATACATATAAAAAGATTCTGCTTTCTTGAAATTGAATTTAAACAGCAGTAATAATTAGTTTCACAATGAAATCGATCACCTAACCTCAAATTTTGATATATATGGTAGTTATCCACCACCCTCGGAGCAGTGGATACGTATCTAGAGCCGTATCTATCACTTCATCTGCCGGGCACAGTCTACGGTCGCTACCATATGGCCGTGATAGATATGCACCAGTTATCCAACAAGATCAATAGATACAAGAAGGAAATGATCAGGCTGCTGGTGGCCTCAACAATACCTGACATTTCCGAACATTGGGTGTTGCGAGGGTTTCTGCTTTCAGTCAGTAGTTTAGAAGATACCTGAGAGTGCATATACCCCAATTCTGGCAATAGAGAATTTGCAGACGTCTCAAATTTGATGAATTTCGTGTTTAAGTGGAAACTACTGAGTCAACTGAACACGAGAATACCTTTGATTCATGAATGTAACAATTATTGGAGAAGATAGGACAAAACGATCTAATCTGCTAAAATACGTGTGTTTAATGGGGAAATGCTGCCAGAAGACATCTTTAGGCAGTGCATTTTCTCACTTTTAAATCTGTTTCAATACTATTTCCCATATTAGAAAAAAATTATAAAAAATACTGCAAAATCAACTCTTTAAGCACTTCCAGATAAAGCAAAAAAAAATTTGCATGCAAAGTTATGATTATTGTTATCATTCTTCATGAGTGCTTCAAATTCTCACCTCCGTTGTTCGAATTCACCTCTGTCCCAGTTGAAAAGGGATAGAGCTGAGTGGGACAGAGGTAAGAGATCTATTTTGACTATGAAAACCTTTCAGGGATCAACACTTCATGTGATATAAAGCAGATAAAAGAAGAAATGACCCGGTTGTTACAAGAATTGGCGGCAAGACAAACGTGAGCTCGTTCTTGGTTACAATACTTGACACTGTTTTCTGCCAGCATGATTCAACACGTATAATACATCACAATCCTTGGATGCAAAAAATTTTGAGTTCACAATGAACTTTCGTTGTATCTTTGATCATTGTAAACGTACTCAGCAAGCAGGACTGCGCAGACGGAATAAACACGAAGCAGAATCCTAGGACAGAGCTTGAACTTAAAAAATGGTGGATGACGCAGAAGAGGTGAGATTTTCTGCCGCAGTTTACTTCTGCCAATGGATAGAGAATTTTTGGTGGCGTCTAAGAGAATGTTTTTAGTTCCCAGAGCCACCCTGCTTCAAAAAAAAAAAAAAAAAAAAAAAAAAAAAAAAAAAACAGTTGACTCACAACCCTTTGAAAAATAGATGGCTTAAAAGTAAAAGCCTCAGGTATACAAAAACTAGAGGTGGTAGAACATTTACCCTACTTAACTGTGAACACAAATTAATCTCAAAATAAGTTTGACGGTTCATTGCGATTCTCTACATTGGTTCTCGCTTGTTGATAATAACTTATTACTTCACCGTGGACTTCATCATTTGCAGCAGTTTAACTAGCTGAGAAAGCAAGGCACAGGCACAAGTTTTAGTTTAGATTCGTGTAGAAACCGTTTTAGTCCTGACTTCCGGTTCAAGATATACCTCGACTTTAGCCCTTAAACCCTAACCAGGCTTCAGTCGGTCCGATTTACATGGGATTTTCCCAAAGGAACTGATCGTCAATTTTTAAACGCCGATTTTTGGTCACTTTAACTGTTGATGCTAGATTTACTTGGGATTATTAGCTCTTCATATCCTATATTGCACATTTCTGCCTAGAGAATCCACAATATTATATTGAATTAATTCAGGATACTCAATAAATCGAAGCAAGTCCCATGAGTGAGGTTACCCCTTAAGGGCTAAGGCGCTAGGGACCTGTAAAAAGCGGTGTTATGAACTTCTCTTTTTCAACAGTAAGGCAGTGTTTTAATAAGCCCAAAGCCGTAGCTTGGATCTGACTCATGTTTTTCGGCCACAAAAACATTTTCAATATATTTAAACAATTTCTTGCAGTGCATAAATCAAATATTTTGAACATATCTTTGCAACTACACTTTATATTGAATTTTTAAAAATTCTTGTCAACTTTCACTTTGAAAATATTGGATTTAGGATGTCTCATGATGAACTTAGTCGCACGGATGTAGGAATTTTTTTTTTCTGCTAACCATTTTGAATGTACACTTTAAATTAATTTACACTATGTACATTTACACACAGAGTAGTCTACGCATTTACAAAATGGAAATTGGAATATGTATTGCTTAATGGGTGGCTCACATGGCAGGTCGTCTGTGATTACTGATTTGGATGAGTAAACATTGAGGTTATATTAGAGAGTGTGGAAGATTAGAGGCCCAACTGGATAGGAAAGAATTGTAACAGAATCATAGAGTATAGAAGGTTAGAGGCCTGACTTAATGCTAAGAAATTGAATCAGAGGCGATCGCTAGCAATGTACGCAACTACTAATTTCTATTGTTTTTCAATGACTGGCGGTGGGTATGTTGCTGCAAGAACACCTGCATGTAGATAATTTTTCAAACATCGTCCGTCCGCAACTACCGCTTGACCAATCAGTGCAGCATATGGGAATGCCGCTCGCCGCGCATTCTCGCGCCAACGTACGCAATTTCTTGCATTTACGGCAAACTTGTGTTTCAGGTCTTTCCAAAGAAATAAAGACGGAGTGCTTGTATCTAAAAGCACAGGGAAAAAGTGAAGCCTGGTTAGGCGCTGGGTGCTTGTGTGAGTGTGTATATGAGCGCAGGAATCCATGGCGGCAGACGGAAATTTGATTTAAACTTGTCCTCTTAATTTTTCCACATTTCTTCTTCTAAACGTGTTTTAAATGCCTAAAACGAATATACCTACTTAGAAACTTGGGACGGTGAATTTTTATAAAACACCTTTTTTGGCTCGGTAACAAGCAAGGATCTCAGATGAAGTTAGTTTTTCTTCTGCTCATGGTGGTCCTGCTGGTTCAAACAGGCCGTTGCAGTCCTAGATGACCATCACTCCCAAATGAATTTAATCGGTTGATGACGGACCAAAAATAACCTAAAGTTAAAAAAATATATGTGGGTAGGTGAATTTGGGCAAAATCAACTTAGAATACTATGTTTCCGCAATTGGAATTTTCCAGTCAGGCCTCTATCCTTCTATACTCTCTTAACAGAAGTTGAGCCGCGAGCAAGAAGTTGCTTACAATAGCGCGAGAGTGCGCGGTAAGCGGAATTCCCATACTACTGCGCTGATTGGCCAAGCGAGAGTAGTGGACAGCCGATGTATACAAAATTGCCTACGTGGAGGTAGTCCGGCAGCAACATACCCGCCGCCCGTCACTAGAAAACAATAGAAAACAGTAGTTGCGTACGTTGTCAGCAAACGCCTCTGTTTCAATTTCTTAGCATTAAGTCGTGCTTCTAACCTTCCATACTCTCTGGGTTACATGTAAAGAACAAAATGGCGGCTCTCGCCAATGAGCATATTTGATTGGTGTGGCATTTGACCTAAGAAATTCAAATTTCCGTTATGTTGCGGGAAATCGCATCGAACACACATGCGCGGATTCGCGTTTAGAAGTCTCGGAAATTTGCGGATTTCACATTAGGAAACCAGAAAATTCGCGATGATTTCGTCATTTCGCGTTTTGAATTTGGAATTAGTAGGTTGCCATTGACATTTATACCTTAGTCCCACCTAAATATGGCCAATGGCAAAATTTCGCGAACGCGAATTCCACAGGTCCCTACTGGAGGGCCAAAAAAGAGGCGGAGCCCGCCCAATACCGGCATGAAGCGCCACATATGAGTTGGCCGAAGACCATGGCTAATTTATTATATGAGTATTACCACTTGGGGAGATTAAAAAAAAAATAAATCAATAAAAAAAGAGGAGGTAACGATAATAATGCCCTTTTCATTTCATTCATTTTGAATACACCAATACTAAAGACAAGAGTTTGGGAAGAACATTTTCATACCTGATGGCCATTCTGCAGTTCTTGAACAACTTTTTCATAACAAATATAGTCCATGTCATTTTTCTGTTGAAGAGGCCGAGTGGCCTTCAAACCCACAAAAGTTTGACTTAAGGGCACTGGACGGAAACGAGCATCAAAATAGAAAAGACCCACCATCGGATTAACCCGCAGGAATCTTGCAACATCGATATAGTTTGGAAGAGTAGCGGATAAACCAACGATGCGAATCATACTTTGACTCGTTTCAACCTGGAAAAGATGTCATAAGAATTTTAGTCCCAGTCGGTGATATATTAGTCAAGGAGAAATATGAAAAAAAGGGGGTTAACCCGGAACAAATTGCTTAACAAACTTTTCCTATGTAATCGTCATCAATAGGTTCTCCTGAACAACATACCAAAAGTTTACCACAGTCCGACCCCGGAACACCCCCCAAAATGCCTAAATTTCAAAATGGCGGCCATAATAAGGCCTCTGGGATTTCGGTTTTTTAAAATGCGCATATAGTGTCATGTGAGGTATCAATCCCTATTTAATTTTGGTCGTAGAAGTCAGATATGAGGTCAAAGAAGTCCCCCGGTCAAAGGAGGTGCCCCAAATCCAAGATGGCGGCCAATTTTGAAACGCAGGAGGGTGAATTTTTAAAATGCCCATATAGGTTCATGTGAGGTATCATTCCCTATGTAATTTTGGTCGTAGATTTCACTTATGGAGTCATAAAAGCCCTCCGGTCAAAGGGGGTGCTCCAAATTTCAAGATGGCGGCTAAATTTGAAAGGCAGGAGGGTGGATTTTTTAAATGTTTACGTGACATGGCAAGTGAGGTATCATTTCTTATGTAATTTCGGTCGTAGATTTCATTTATGAAGTCATGAGAGCCCCCCTGTCAAAGAGGGTGCCCCAAATCCACGATGGGGCCAAATGTGAAAGCAGGAAGGTGAGCCAAAAAAACAACGATCACGTTAGAAGGCAGGTTGGCTAAGTATCAAATTCTATGTATTTTTAGTCAAAGAGTCTGAATGAAATTTTAAAAATTAATTTTACACAAAAATGAGATGTGACATGCAAGATGGTGACCATCATAGTCGAGAAATCATAAATGGTAGGTAAGATGTCTCGCTGATTAGTGCACAATAACTCAGAATTCAAGTTCAGATGCCTTAGACAGAGAGGATGAAAAATCTGAAATACCTGCTGTAAGCACCGGGATACAGGAGTAAAAGTTAAGTACCTTTTAGATGGTGGGTCTTCACTCCACCGAGGGCCATGGAAAAGAGGGCAAACCTATATTATTTGGATTCATAAATTCAATGTATCGTACAGTTCTACACTAAATTCTTATCTAAGTAATCTGAAGCCACGGCAGTATTTGACGGGTGCCAAGGAGATGGACCATTCAATAAAGACTCCACTCGCCTTAAAAGAAGCCAACAATTCCGACAGGTACGCGTTTACAGTCAATTTCTCACCAAATCCATCTTCTGTTTGTAAAAAAGAGGTAAATTTTGACAAATTCAGTCACTAAAAGTAAACTTATCCAAATCATCGGCACACGCCTCGAATCCTTCCGTTGTAAGGTCGTGCATGTGAAATAAGATGCAGCTCTTGATATCGTCAAAGACGGTGGTGCACCTTGTACATAAGAAAACTAACAAAATTAATGTGAACGGAAACGATTCGAACCTATTGGTTTTTTTTTTAAAAAAAAAAAAATATCCGAGGACATCAATTTTTCTTTGCACTTAAGATGTGATAATAATTGCGGAAAGTCCAAGACGATCGCTCATAACATCCCTTGAATCCGACACAGAATCGATCTAAGTTTATGTAAGCAGCATCTGCTCCATACGTTTTGGCTTTTGCTGCGATTTAACCTCTCACATGCACAGAATCGGAAAAGCATAACTATATTTGGTACGCTTATATCGGATCCTTACCTATGCAAAAATGCTGAAAGGTTCTTGAAACCTAAGCAAAGCTTTGAACGAACAGAGAAAACTGGATAGAACGTGCCGATCTGAATGCTCGTCAATGGGAATGCTTTGATAAAAATGTCAACGAAATTTATCCTATTACAAGCAACTTGCCTCCAGTCCGAAATCACTGCGTAAAATTATTCGGTATAATTGTAAAAAAAAAAAGGTGCAGCACACCATGCAGTATGAAAGTGAAAATTTTAGAAAATGGACTTATGCTGCACGGACTTACATATAAATTAAGAAGACTTCATTAACGTGGAGACACCCCAGGAAGAAGATCCTGACTCAGACTATGAATCAGCATGTGCTGATTCAGATATTCTCCCATATTGACCAGAGTTCGTAGGTCATGTTTAATATCCTTATCTTCATCGGGAATGTATGTGCTTCAAAATTGACAAAAATAACTCGTAGGTGCTCCTGTTCACATCTTTTTATACCCTGGATAGCCTTGATGGTCACCATCATGCATGTCACGTCTCATTTTCGTGTAAAATTAATTTTTAAAATTTCATTCAGACTCTTTGACTAAAAATACATAGAATTTGATAGCCAACCTGCTTTCTAACGTGATTGTTGTTTTTTTGGCTCACCTTCCTGCTTTCACATTTGGCCGCCATCGTGGATTTGGGGCACCCTCTTTGACAGGAGGGCTTTCATGACCTCATAAATGAAAACTACGACCAAAATTACATAAGAAATGATACCTCACTTGCCATGTCACGTAAACATTTCAAAAATCCACCCTCCTGTCTTTCAAATTTAGCCGCCATCTTGAAATTTGGAGCACCCCCTTTGACCGGAGGGCTTTTGTGACTCCATCCATAAGTGAAATCTACGACCAAAATTACATAGGGAATGATACCTTACATGAACCTATATGCGCATTTTAAAAATTCTCCCTCCTGCCTTTCAAAACAAGTCGGTCATTATGAGTTCACGAATGACGTTTCCAATGCTCATGCTGGGCATTGGATGTTCTTCCAGTAAAGTGCAAAGTCTCCAAATACATACTTCAAATAAATTTTTTTTAAATTATAAGGGTTCGAAAAAATGAATAATCATTTAGGTACTCCTTTGTAACCACCACAGTCCTTTTCTTTAATTTATGTCCCAGTTTGATTTTTGTTGCCATCTTGAAGTTTTGTGACGTCAGGCGGGTACCACTTTTGCCAGGCGACTACCGAATCTGTAGCGCACATTTCAAATCTTCGCCTGCTCTCATCAAGATGAAGCAGAGGAAAACGCGAAGCATTGTTTGATAAGCGAGATGACGATGAGATATAAATTATCTGTCACATTCCTTCCTAGAAATGTGCCTGTTCAAGCTGAATTTAGTTTTTTAGTTCTGAATGATGAAAGAATCTCAAAGGATCGAAATATGACTAATTCTTACCTATAACTTGCAAGATAACACCCTAAGTTATGAATTTTTCCAGCATTGTTGCAATATCAGTAGAGTACCTAATAGCGGCACCCAGTGTCACAATATATCATACATGATGTAGGTAATTCTCATCCAAATACGAGAAGAATAAATATTTACCTTCATTACCACCAAGTAGATGAAAGTTCCACTGTGAACTTAGTTGGCCAATAAAAATGCAAACAATGAAGCAATTATTTTTATTTCCTGACTCCAAATGGTAAGAATTATGGTAAGAATTCTAAGGCATAGTAAAAACTGTATTTATCATTCCTCAATTGATACAAGGTTGACTGTTTGCATAGAAATGATAGTACAAGCGGGATCGTTATTCCTGCGAAAAATAGTTTTCCGTAACCCGCCGTACATGACTCAGATGACCACAGGAGATTACCCGGGCTCGAAGTCATGTTAGTGAAGAAAGCCTTTCCCCTCATTGATATCGCACCTTCTCCGACCGTATCTCGCATATTTTCGTTTCCCTTCATTGCAGCATGCATCAAATTGCGATTATCCGGAATATACGATCACATGCTTTATCTGATCGAATCCATCGCCCACTTTTACTGATACGGAAGACAAGACTTGTCTCACTGGGTCAACAGTCGGTTAGTTTAGTTTCATTTCGAAGAGGACAGAAGACCCATCACTCTAGGCACCCTGGCCCTGCTGATATCTAGGCGCCAGTGTAAGGCGCCATGCAAGCAGGGGGGGGGGGGAGGGCAACCAGCCCTTGTGTTCGAGCTAATTGAAAATTACTTCGATTTTTTGTTTCTTTTTAAACAGTCAAAATATTCAAAACTTTTGTAATACAAGTCATGGTTACTTACGGATCACTTCCTTTTATTCTTGATTATGATACAAAATTAAAAAAATATTAATGAGGTTTCAATCGTGTTTAATCTTCATAGTATTTTCTTTCCTTTTATTCAATACCCCCCCCCCAAAAAAAAAAATATTTGATAAAAGGGCATAACTTGATAACACAAAGAAACTGTAAATAATGCTTCAGTCGTCTGTGGATGATTTTGCTCTTAAAGAAGCTTCCGTGAATAGTACTAAATAATGCTAATGAAGATTTTTATTAAATTTAAATTAAATGTATTTTCTGTCTCAAGCAATGAGTTTCTTCCAATAATGTGGCAAATTCAAAAAATAAATCAATCAGGAGGAAGAAAACTCCTAAATAGAGATGTAAAATTTGTAGCTTTGAAATTAAAATAATTTATATCATCAGTAGAGGAGTAGATTACCCGGCTCGGGTAAAAAGGAGGAAAAAATGGCAAAAGGTTGAAAATCCTAGGAGGCAGTCCATTTTTCAGGATGAAGGATGAACGAATTAGCATTGAAATGAAAATGAGAACACGCGAGAAGAATGACAGTGACATTTTGCCTAAATATTAGTTCAAAACATGACAACAAAGAAGTAGCGAGAAGTTGCATTACAGTTGTCCCGTTGCAAAGCTTTACTAAAAACTATCAATATCAGTGATGAATCACTTAAAAATAATACCAAAACAATTAGTAAAGTCTGAGCCCGACTCCTATGCTCTAAAATAAATACTTCAAGTTTTGCGCGATTTTAAGTTCTCAGACAAAGGGGATGCGGAAGCATGATATTTGAAAGAAGTGGTTAGTTACACTATTGATTCACGATTGCAGGCTCGGACTGGCCATAAGGCCAATCTGCCATTGGGAGATACGCCCCCTTGGCGCGCCAAAAACGCGCCCTTCTGACAGATAGCAAAATAAGAAGAAGAAAAAAATTACAACCGAGAATATATGCGAAAAATTTCTTAAATGAACGGAAGAAGAGAGAGTTAGGGGTGAAGAGAGGTGCTTTTA